TGTGAATATGTGTAATTATAACATTTAGTTATGTTGTATAATAAATAGAAACGTAACATTTCACGTTTTTTTTTTTGCAATGTTTTTACTTTACGCTCTTTGTGCAATTTTCGAAAGCGTTTTCAAAAGCGATCTCTGCATCGACGGGAAATGCTAAAAATTGCACGTGTGAGCGTTGCTCGAGATGTAGAATTAATAGTTAATATTAATATAGGAATTGCGGGATAAAATTATTTAATAAAATAATCAAATACACTACTTTTAGAATGAATGATTCAACGATATCAAGCTGTAGTTACATAATGTTATACGATGCAATACAATAATGGAATCTAGTGGAGATGCTTTCAGAAAAAATAGTGTACATTTTAAAAATTTATTTTATTATAAAATTGTACAATACATTTATTCTTTTATTCTATCTTTCTTTTCCATTATACCTCCACTTACATATTCCATAATTGTTATGTTGTTGGTAAGAAAACTCTGTGAAAGGTATATGAAAACTGGCGTTTCAGCAAAACGAAATGTGTATAGTTTTCAACTATTGATAAACTATAAATTTTATAATACATTCAGCATTGCTAAGAAAGTTTATTTTTTCAGAAATCAAAATTTTCTAAATTGTTAAATCTTTTGATTGAGAAAATTTGATGAATGAAAAAAGTAAGAATTCTGCTGGAAATATCTGCACCAGATGTTATTATCATAGCTATTTGTACATAATAGTACAATAATGCGTATAGATGTATTATATGCGATCAAAGCATTTTTAAATAATGAATTTCGAGGTTACGCGTCAAATGTGTTCGGATCAAGTCAATAATTAAATTTGTATGTCAAACAATTGTAGACATCATTAGAAACAAGATGTGCACGATTAATCGCCATTTCGTATAGAGTAATATAGACACGTGTTATTAATGATGAATATGATAATGATTACAAATCTTGAATTTGAAAATTGTCAATTAATTAAATATAGCTGAAAAAGAAGAATAATTTTAAAGTATTTTCTTTTTTACGACAATTTATTAATTTCTCTCGATTACAGTTGCTTTGTGTGTGAATGAAATCATAATACAACATTTAATTACATTACATTACTATAACAAGATTTAGATATTCAGAAATAATTAGTTTTTTGTCTTGTAATAATAGCCAATTAAGCATTTATATTCTGTTTTGTAATTTGACTTCTTTTCTCTCATTCAAAATGTATGTATTCGTCTTTCTGTGCTGCCAAACTTTTAATTAATTTTTCTTTTTTATTATTATTTTCTTTTTTATAAAAAATATTATTAATTATTTCATGCTATTTCTATGAAATGTTTTTTAGCACTGCAAATTAATATTTAATGTAATATAAGTTTATTTATATTTAATGATCAAACTAATCGTTTGCGACACTACAATTGGCCATGTTTACTCCGATATATGTTTTTACAAATTTATTTTTTGCATAGCTCGAAAATTAACGTCCAAATTTAAATAATCTTAATCTAAATATACAAAAAATTAATTTTAGTTATGTTTTGGAAGAAGCATGAATAGATAAAATAATATGTCGAAAGAATATGGCTTTAAAACTTGCCTACTCATTTGCGCCAATTGTTAAGTGTTCCAGATTCGCATATCACGATTCTTCTCCTTTTTTCATTATTTAACCTTTTTCAATAATGCTCTTATATCTTGAGATAAAACAATAAAATATATATATATCTTAAGATTTGTTGGCATATGTTTTATGCTTTGAAGATACTAAAATAAGGCTTCTAATGTAAATAATTATTAGTCACATTGTATTTTGTTCTTCCAACTCATTGTCAGATGGTCTTCCACGTGATTTCTTTTTGAAGAATCGCCGTTTTAAAAATGTTGATCAATCGCTCATACAATTCTGCGATCTCGAAGAACGGATAGATAGGTAATTACGTCGATCGCATTTTTGTATCATATAATGTATAACGAATCATTTTTGTTGTAAAATAAAAATGTATATCAGTGACATGATATTAATTCCTTTATAATTGTTAATTGTTATTATCGTTAGTTAAAAATTAGCATTAAATGTAGGGTGCAAATGTAAGTTATAGAGATTTTTTACAATATTAAAATTTAATAAACAACAATATATTTCATTTTTTCATACAATTATAACATAGAAATTGTGCAATACATTTTTATCTTAGAGAGAAATTTTAAGAGTATAATAGTCTATGTATAAAATTTTTTTATAGTTTTTTATCAATGTTAATGACCTTTTCCTTCATTTCTTGTTAAATTATCTTAATTATTATGTCGAAAATTTTAATTAAATTATATTTAGCAAAAAGAAATTAGTCAGAAATGTTTTAATTGTTCCTTGCTGTAGTATCCGATCTAATCGTCTTAAATTTAACATTTGATTTGTGCAATTACGTCACCTTAATAAGTGGAGATCTATAGCTAAATTAGCATTTTATCTTTGACATAAACGCTAGGAGCTCTTCACCTTGACATAAATACAGTACCGTTTAACAGCAGCATTTCAAAGAAATATTTCTTATTAAAAAAATTTAGCGTTGTATTTAAAAGTTTTTTGCTCATGAAAGAATGCGTGATGTTTTTACATAATTTGAGAGGTTTGTAAAGTCGGTTAGTTCATTGTCAGTGATTAGCATACTTGTCTATTCTGTAAACTCCTTTTTTGGCTCATGGCCCACTTCAGACAAATTTCCTCGGGCAATGAAACGGTACTGTTTGTTTTTTTTCTCTCCGATTCTTTTTTTTCACATTCTTTATAGCAATGAATCTGTGATATATGTTACGACGTTTCTAAATTCAGTTATACAAGATCGCACATAAACATTTTATTTAAATATTTTCATATTTCAATATTTTTGCTAAAAGTAACTGAATGAAATAAATATAAGAATATTGTCTATAAAAAAATATGTATACATTGAAAAAATATACAAAATATACATATGTTAAATAATAAAATAATTTTTAAATTAGAGAATTAGATGTGAAAAAAATGTTTATAAAAATGATTATATAAGATAATTTTTAGAACAAATTTGGCAAAAATGTTTAAAATACATGTAAATATAATGAAAAATAAGAATTCAAGTAAACACGTGTTTTGTAAAGCATAAAAACGTATCGTTTATCTTATAAATATTTCTATGTACAGATTTTTTACGTTATTTTATTTTTATTGTAAAAATTGTTAACAATTAAAAGACTACTGCTGCGCGATGGGTTATCTTCTTGTTGTGTTTCCTTTATTATTTCTATTTTTCATTTTTATTTACTTATTTAAAATTATTAAAAATTACTTACTTAAAATACATTTATTTAAAAATTTAATCATAAGTTGACTCAATTGAATTTATTTATATTTATTGAATTTTTGCGAAATCAGTCTTTATCAAGCCGTTTTTGTCTTATAAGCCTTTCGATAGAAATCGCTAAACAGGTAGATGAATATTACCACATTTGTTACGAAGAAATAAGTTAGAGCCTTCGGCATTCGGCAGTCCAGAGCCAACGTTAATATTAGGTAGAATAACATTATTCCAAACTGCAACTGAAATTTGATAAAGAATTTTAATTATTATATCTGAATTATATTATAATAAATCTGTATGATTGACATTTCTTTAAATCGTTTCTTATTAAATAAACATTTAAAAAAAATATTAAGCACTAATTGAAGAGAATAGTCGAGAAAAATAAAATTAACGTTTAAAAGTAACATTGACATTAAATTCTATTATTTAGTTATAAAAATGTAATTTTGTGTTCAAAAAAATTGACAAGAATTGACAGTAATAAGATTCTAGTAATTCATATAAATTACTTTGGTAGTATAATGCTTGATAATTACCAGTTGAATCCAGGTCATATATTTCTTCCACCAGAGGTACTTTCTATATTTGGAGCCAAGCGCGGCGATGAAATAATAACTGTACATAATAATGTGAACCATGGAATTCAAAAAACCCACTACGACACCTTGTTCGCCAGGCAGCAATTTCAAGTAGCACCATGAAAAAACGGCCGTTACTGTGTGGTGATAAACATGAAGGAAAGTCACTTGATTTTGTTTCTTTCTCAACACGAAAAATACCTTCAGAAAACAGAGAAAGGAATAAATATTATTAGTTATATTTTTTAAAATGGAATTTGTTTTCTTACTTTCTTACTTTACTTATTTGTTTTCAAATTTATTTATATTACTATATATAAAAAAAATAATTATTTTACTGATATAAATAAAATAATTTTAGAAAATTTATAACAAAATTTTTATATATAATCGGGAATATCTCAATTTGTCATTTAGCTCAAGTTTGTATATCAATTTTTATATATTTCAAAATACATAATATTATATGTCTGAAGAAAAAAAGTGTTCTACCTATTTAAAAAAATTTCAACTTATTTGCATTTACAATCAGAACTAGTACAAGCAATTGACATTTTTCCGATGACCCAGTTAGTAAAGCGCTTTGTTCATATTTCAAAATATTTGATTACGATAGCCTTTGTCGGTTATGTGACGAAAGAATGGTGCAATGATAACGGAAACACAGTATTGCGCTTTATCATTGTTTTACGTAATCTTTAAAATTCAGTAAATGTTAAACGTCTTCGGAATTAATTTGTCTGTATTAATTTTATGTATGTGCATATTCTTTAATGCATACAACATACATATGTATAGTATGCATATGTATATAATATAGTATATATTCGCTTACCGTATCTAGAAGCTCGATGATTTTTGCAAAGAAATACCACCACGCACCTCGCGACAGCTATATATTCGAAACATGATACACAACATTAAAAACATATTCAAACGTAAATAATTATTGTAAAAATTTAAAAAAAGTGCTTTACCGCTGATTGTAGATTTTTTTTTTGTGGCGAAGGCGGTAAATGATTGACATTATTACATCCGTGGGAAGAAAATAACTGTCGAATATCAACTTCTAATGCCTGAAATCAACATGTATTTTTTACAGATTACTCCACATCATATTATTCTAGTTAATTTCTTTACATGTAGTTTTATTTGAATTTAGACAATTATATAAAAATGTTAACTTTAATTAACTAATTTTTATCAAAGTGTTAAATTTAAAAATATACATATATTATTATGTATTCTCGTGATTTACATAATAATAATTACATCATGTAACACTTATTGTTAAGCCTTCAAGATTTGCATGAAAGAATGCTAAAGTGATATTCTTTTCAAAATGAAATAGTAGAGGATGAACAAAGTACACATTGTAATATGTTTTCCACTGTTTAGTATTAAATAGTAAAAAATTAACTTCAATAGATTTCATGCAAAATTACAATATTGTACTTACCAAAGATGTTAACCAGATACTAAAGAGTACTTGAAACGCATTGTACAAAATCATAACGGTATTTAGCTGAAAAGCTGGCCTTTTTTCCATCATTTTAGGTCCAGCTTTTAATACAAATATTAAATATGTGCCGACGATACACAACATAGGGCCTGGAGACCCCATTAAGGGCCACGTGTCGACCAAGGGATCTGTGTCGCAAAAGAAATAGAATTCATTTATTTCTTACGAAAATTCGTAAAATGTGTACATTGACTAAACGTATCTAATTAATAGCAGGCTGTAGCTATATTTCATAAACTTCAATTTATTTCTAGAATTAAAATTTTATAATAGCTATGGTCGAGAATATGGACTTATTTACCTTTAACGTTTTCCAAAACTTCATTATAATTGCTTACTAAATGTCGTATGAGACTAGCCATGTTGGTAGTTTACGTTACGTAGTAATCGAAAATCTGAAGCGTAAAAAATGTATTTGATTTACATTCACGCAATTATAATGTACAACAAATTCAAGTCTTTCTTTTTACATTTTTTTATACATTATAAAGTTTTTTACATTTTTTTACATTTTTTTACATTTATTTTAAATAAATTGAATAGGAGCGTAAAGAGCCACTCGTGCCACGTCGTGCGAAGATTACTTTATATTCATTTAAAACATCCACATTTTAGGATATTTATTTTGTGGGCATTTAGAATATTTATTTTTTTTTTAGGATTATATTTTTTTGACATCAGGCAAAAACGTTTGTAATGTAAACAATTTTAAATAAATATAAAATAACCTTTGCACAACGAACCCGCATTGTGACTCTTTACGCTCCTATTAAATTTATTTCATTTTGTCAATCACTCATAGAGCCTTTTACATTAATTATTGTACTTTTTATTTTAAATTTACAAAAGTAAAAGAATAAAATAATTTAAAAGTTTATTTTTTATATTAATAAAATATTGACTTTTTCTCTTTGTATTTAACATAATTTTCAGAAATGAGGTTAATAACATATTTAAAAAAATATTTTTATAGAATATTAAAATTTATATAAATTATGACAATAAATAATATTAGTATCGCTACCAATAAAAAATAGAAAATTAATTGTATTGTTATTTACATCATTGAGCACAGTTTAAGTTATTAGTCTACCATTGTATTAAAATTTAAACAAACAAATAATCGAATGCTGGTCGATCAAACAAATAATCAGTCTCGATCTATCATACGCCTTCTCTTAAGAAATTATGATATATATGACAACACACAATAATTAAAAAAGCAAACAGAAAATGCAAATTTCTTGTAGTGTACTCACTCTTTAACAAGCAATCGAAACTTTGCGGATTAATTTCACAAGTTTAGAGATGAGAGAACTTTGTGATTATTGTGTACTTGATGTATTTCTCTCAAAATTGAGAAAGTTTAGATACGATTCGCTATCCGTAAGCGTCTTCTGATCACCGATCTGCGAAGAGACGCGTCCTACCAAAAACTGATCGTTCACCGTGTGAAGCGTTTGCCAAGAGGACCACTATTCAGCAACTACGTCTTTCGATCCCCACTTGTCGAATACGACTTCCTACCTCTGACCAATAATGCAATAAGAGGTCAAACGACGACAATGAGACGCAAGAAGGCGGTTAGGTTGGGTTCATAGACATGAGGTTAGAATCATTTTGTTTGATTAACTATTGAGATCGATTGATATCAAAATAAGGAAGGGAGGGAGAGAGAGAAAGCGTGCACGAGAGATAATGATAAATGGGAGCAATGAAAGAGGGGAATGAAGAAAGAACAACGAAAAAAGGAGAACGCTGAAGGAATTTGCGAAGACGACCACAAAAGTGCCGCGTTTTAAACGCGCGAATGTCTTGTGCCGTTTACGGCGACTAAAGTATGATAAGAAGCGACGAAACACTCTTAATAGGGCGCAGAAGATAACATTCAATAATCAAATTTAGTTGCTTATATTGTGTGTAATTTTTGCACACTATAATTTCCGATATCAAGTGGCTAAATATTGTCGTTTTCTATCGTTGACTGTCACATTTGTGGTTTATATAATAACAAAATTTTTAATATTTAATGTCTAACATTTTGATCGAATATCAAATTACAAGTATTGAAATAAAATTCACTTAAAATTTTACTAGGAAAAATTACCTTTAAATTAAGGAAAAAAAATGCTTGCAGAGGTGAACAACCTATTGCGTAATTATTTTGAATACAATGTGTTACGGGGAATAGTTACATAATTTAAATTTTTTAAACTCATTTAACAATGTTAATTTTAGTTTTTTTATATTTGGCTATTATATTTTTGTATATTAGTCTATGATCATTAACGGTTACATAACTGCCGAATACATTTCTCAGATTATTTACTTCACGCGTATGCTATCTGTTAACATAATTTAATTCGCATAAATATAACATCAATTTTATAAAAAAAGAAAAATATATATAATACTATTTTTATAAATTTACATGTATTACAATAACATTATCATTAAGAGTAACTTTAAAATTACTAAGAAAAGGTCAAAATGACAACGGAAGTCGGAATCGAAGAAGTTCATTGCCGCATTAGAATAAGTCTACAGGAAATTACGTAAAATATCTATGCAAACCAGTTAATTATTATGTACAAACATTGAAGAATTCCGAACCGTAAAGCGTCTTCCTCCGAATGTTTGACGATGTATATTTAACAGGAATAAACATGTGGCTGCATAGAGGAAATATGTTTGACACATAGTATTGTAACTTATTTGTAATTATATTGAGGTTTCTCGCAATTTTCAAGTCAAAGTACAATATATTATGAATTGCGTCGTAAAAATTGTGTGCAAATATTTGATGAATGCTAAATGTTCTAAAGAAAAAATCAATCACACATATATTATTTACATGAAGTACAAATAGAATGATAAAATATGACTGCCTGTTGTAAAATTTAAAATGTATTATTGTTGATAAAAATCAAGATATTAATAGTTGCACTATTTGTTAATTGTGACATTTTCTACTGTACTTGTACGAGTTGTAATTATTTTTAGAGGAAGTATGCATTAATTCTGTGTAGAGTAGTTAATATACGTAACTGTGTAATTGAAGAAGATAAATTAATGCGACGTCTGTCTTTATGTAACGATAATTACACGTTTAAGAGTGCGGTCAAGTTCCGTCCCTTTCCCATTGAAATGTTCGCACTTTGAATATTCCAATAAATGATACATAGAATTGAAGCTTAGGATGAGTAGAATAAGAATCTCAAGTCTCGGTATTATTTTTTTAGCCGTTTGGGAGAAAAATGATTCAAAAGGTTGCAATCTCAATAGATGACCAATAGCCAAGATTTAAAAATTAGCTATTTCTAAATTTAAAATATTTTATTTTCAATTATAAACGTTAAATAAAAGCAAAAATTGTAAAAGGATGACACAACTTGCTGTTTGAATAAACTTGAACTTGAGTCGAGTGCATCACTCGAGCAAGTAAACACAAGCATAAAGTTCAGGCCACGCGTTAGTTCAGTCATCTATTGAGATACCTTTTGAACCGTTTTCTCCCAAACAGTTGAGAGATTAATACCGAGATTTCTGATTCTTATTCTACTCATCCTAAGCTCAATTCTATGTATCACTTATTGGAATGTTCATAGAGGCGGAACGTCTATGGGCGCTTAACCGCACTCTTTAGCATTGTGATTATTATAAAAATGTTGTGCGGGGAAATAAATTAATTTATTTATGTTGTCTATTATACTGATTTATTTTATTTTACAATTTAATTGTAAATATTAATATGTACGCTTCACGCATTATTATAGCAATACAATTGAAGATTGACATCATTAGTTACTTAAAAAATGCAACCAAAGTATGAAATTGCAATATTTGATGAGGAATTATTTCTTGTTTATCTGGAATAAATGAATTTAGCATTAGCATAAGAAAAAGTATACACAAAATGTGCAGAATAAGTAATTTCTTAATTTGTCATAATTATTTTGTGATTTTTTATTTAACTTTTTCAATTTTATATGTTGCTAAAAAATATTTTTATGTATTTACTTACTATTACCATTGAAATAATAAGGCAGTTTATGTTGCAATTTATCTTGTCTTGTCTTCTTTTCTTTTTTTTTACAAATAATAGCACTTGTTTATTACAATATGAATAATTGAATAATTATGAACACCTTATAATTACATTAATTGTTATTTGCACAGTAATAGCACACGTTTACAAACGTAATTTACATATTTGATGTACAAATAAATAATCCACTATTTTCTCGTACGTGCGAAAAAGTTATTTAAATTCAATATATTTTGGAGAATTTTTGCAATATAATAGTGCATAGTTTTATTAAAAATGGCACATGGCATGCTGAAATAATAAAAGTTACCTCAAAAATTTTATTGCTAAAAATGGCTACAAATAAAAAATCTATTCGCCATTGTATTTTGTAGAAATTCCAGCAAGAAAAAATTTTACAAAAGTGTGTGAATCATGATGATTCTTTTATTTTATATCATAAAAATTTTGTGATATATGTATATAAATGTATACAAGTTTTAGATCCGACGAAAATCTAAAGTCTATGTTAGTCAGCAAGCTTATTACACATCCGTTTTTATTTGTTTACAATCGACTAGTAATCAGTATCTAATTAACTCACTAATGACGTATCTAATTAACTCACTATCTAGTGGTTTGCGGAAACTCGTAGAGGAAAAATATATATCGATGTTAAAACGATGACGTATCGTCACAACTGGAAATATATATACAGGCGTTTACGTCGTTAACGTTCGTACGGAAGAATGAAGATACGACCGATGGCACCGTTAGAGGAAAGCACTGTCGGAACGTTTTTCTTCTGTAACAAAGCTGGACATTCAAGAGTACTAATCGGACGTCAAGTAGTAGAAATGAATCTACAGTTGTATCGTATAACGAGCTGTGAAACGTGTGTAAGAGTTCGTAGCTACGATGCCTTGACAAATGCTATGTCATATGAGTGGAAAGATAGATGACACGATTGCATATATTCATCCTGCATGCCTAATCATTTTACGCGTATATAATGTTGAAGGAAAATCGAATATAATATAAATAATACTAATTTAAAACAATATTAAATTTACTTTGCTTAAATTTGTTATTGTGTGAAATATAAATTATAAATATTTTAATATATGAAATTTGAAACCTCAGATTCGCAGCTTCAAAGAAAATCGCGGACAAGTCGAACGAATCACAACGACATATTGCAGCTTAATAACGGTGCTGTCATAAAATTTATGAAAAATTTCTTCACGCATCAGTGTAACTTTAATAGCCCGATCATAATTTATGATTGGAAGCGAACCGGCTCGTAAGTCAGTCAACATGCAAATCTTGACTTACGCCGTACTTGACAAAAGTGCGTATCGTGACTACTGGCTTAATAAACCGTCGCAATTATGACGTCGACGTCATCGATGACGACCGGGTTAATAAGGGACACAAAGGCGATGCGAGTAAAACCAATCTGGAATCTTTCGGCGTTACTTTCTAGCTCTTAGCTCGGAAGTAAGTTAACGATTTGCAGCTAGGAAGTAGGATTATGTACTCTTTCTAGTGGGTTAAGCGGTCGGCGAATATCCTCGACAGAATTGTGGCAGATTCGTATTTACAATTAACACATTATGCGAATTTTGAGCAAACCAATATCGCTTCTTAATTTTTTTTAGTGTCTCAAATTTTGCTGCGCCGCTTTTAATTATTTTTCCAAAACTGCTTTTACAAAAGTTATAGCAAATGCATTTAGAACATACGAAAACTTATATACAAACTTGTAATTTTTAATCAATGAATGAAGGAAATGGAAGTTATTTTCAATCGTAAAAGTCATCTGCTTGATTAATTTCTCGATCCGGTTGGTTGTGTGAAGCGAGACTATCATAATAGAAATTTTGATGACTTTTAAGGATGGATCTTGAAGATTGTAAACAGATATAACGGCATCTTTCGGCGACATCATGACAAAACTGACTTTGCTATAGATATGTAGTCCTTTCTGTTTCTCCTCGTCTTTTTTCTTTTATTTCCTCTCGTTCGTCCCAGTTCGGAACATGTGCTCAAAAAAAGTAGGCCATCTAGCAGCTCTTCGACGGTCATGGCCGCGATTAATTATTCGATTCGGTGTGTACGAACATATGGTGAAAAAAAAAATCAAAAAACTTATCGCGGTCATCTGCAATAGATAAGTCAAAAGAAAGTTATCGCGGTCATCTGCAACGGATAAGTCAAAAGAAAGTTATCGATGTATTTCGACATCGAAAATGATGATCAAAATATACAATAATTTATAGGCTTAATGTATCAAGACATAATTCCTCTCTTCCTCTCTCTATTCTTTGCAAAATTTATAATACTTAATAGTAAATTGTTATAAACATAATTAATGTGTGCATTATTTTAAACTCATTAACTTGTTATTAAAATCTTCATAATTAGTGAGACTGTATTTTACTATTGAATGAAATAATCAAAATTCCCTTAACATTTGCGATATGCACAAATATGACTAAAATGATGACTGAAACAGATATACAGGGTGTCTGGCAATAATCGCCCCACCGGTCATATACAGGTAGAGGAGGTCAAATCGAGTAGAAAAGTCCTTTACCATTTTTTAATTTTCATAATAAGTACTGAGTAATTAACGAAAAAAGATCGACGAATCCGCGCGAGTAAAGCGCGCGCGGTGAGAAGGACGTCCCACTGCTACGCGATCACTAGGACACAAGGATCTAGCGTTACGCGCCGCTCGTATGTTGCCATTGTCATTTGTAGAGCGCTCCTCCCAACGCTTCATCGCGCGCCTAGTGATCGCATAGCAGTGGGACGTCCTTCTCGCCGCGCGCGCTTTACTCGCGCGGATTCGCCGATCTTTTTTCGTTAATTACTCAGTACTTATTATGAAAATTAAAAAATGGTAAAGGACTTTTCTACTCGATTTGACCTCCTCTACCTGTATATGACCGGTGGGGCGATTATTGCCAGACACCCTGTATGTGTAAATATGTTAATAGGAGATTTATAATAATAACCATAATTTATTATAATTCTTTATAAAGAATTTTTAAATTAAACACATAAAATAAAATATGAATTATATATATTGTGTACACATAAATATTCATATACGTATATCTAATTTTATATTATATAATATCGTTATAATATATATAATTTATATATGTAATCGAATATGATTAGAAATATTACAGATTGGGATGGTTAATGATTACGTATTTATGTGTGTGTAAATAGCAACATTAATAATAACGGTCTTCCACTTATTACATTAATATTGGTGCTAAATATTTTTGCAACAGAGTATTTTCCAGTAATAAATGTTAATATCATTCACGTAGAAATAAAAGTTAGTGTAAATCTAAAATAAAAACCTGTCATAGAAACTTATGTATTGAACGTCAAACTTTAACATTCCGTATTTTAAAATTCAAGTTTTGAAGTATAATATTCTAAAAGATTAAAAATATTTTTTTTTATTATATTGAAATAGTTGAATAAGTGTAGAATGTGGGATTGAAGAGTTTCTTAACTCTTTAACTAAGAGTTTGAATAAAACAAAACGCGAAATGTATTTATCGCAAAAGAGCAAAAAAAAAAATAATAGTAAGATTTTTGTATGAGATGGATGTAATACATTTTTACTGCTCGTATTATCTGAAATATTTTTGTACGTATAAAAGTTATTTTAATCCAAAATTATATGATATTATTGCTGTAGGATGTGCATGATAAAGTCTATAATCAAAAAATGTAGGAACATAATTTGAAGTATTATAATTTTAAGATTTTAATTAACTTTAATTAATGATATTATATGTAAAAATTGCAAACGTAGCTAATTTTGTAGAAAAGCAACCCCAAACTTTAAATATTGACTGCATTATGTTTTGTTTTCTTTTGAATACTTCTTATAACAATTGTATATTAGATATAAAAATTAATAATTAATTCATTAAAATATGACTGTTTAAGAGAGATACTTAAAAACAAAAAGAAAAAGAAGAATTGAGAAAAGATGTCGAAACCGTTAAGTTTTCGATAAAGACATATCTATTTCCTAAAAATTAAATGTTACATTTTATCAAATTAATATAAACATCATTTGTTTAGCTAGTTAATTCAATAAAAATCTATCATTCATATATCTTTACTTGAATACTAAATCAGCTTGTACGGAATTCTTAAAGTTTGTTTTATTTTTATAATTATTTGTTGGCGATACATGATGTTTAAACAGTTATACCGTTTTTAATAATATCAAGTTATTCTATATACTTGTAGCTATCGCAAAGTGTTTTTCTATTATTTTTATTTTTGTTACTTCCGACTATTTGGAAAATTTAATCACAGTCTAAAATAGAAGTATAAAATAAAAGTTTAAAAACAAAATGGTATTTTGGTTTGATATTTTGCTCGCTTTATCATTAAATGTCCAAAACATGAAAGATCGTTTCAATTCATCTGACACGAACGAAAAATGACAACTATCGTAAAAGTTGAAATTAATTAATATTTATATTTTAATTAAAAATTAATTTTGATAATATTTGTATGAATACCAAAAATATTCAACATTATCGTCTAAATTTATAATTTTTTTGTTTTTCCGTTTGAAATTTTGGCGGAGACGCCGTTTGCTTCCGTTTTTGTTGGTACCATTTTTGCCGGTTTTTTCTTGATATAAGTTTTATAATAAAATTCTCCAAATAATATCATCATGAAAAAATTCTGTGGTATCATTATATATGCCGGCCATAACGGAAAGCCACAATCTTTAACCCAGAATAATTGCATGTAATGCAAGCCGATTAGGAAAAATTGCACCAATTGCAGTTGTGTGATGTATTTCTTCCATGAGTTTGTATTGATCTTCATGGATGTCAACAGATAATGCGTGTACATTATCATATGAACAAATGTATTGAGTAATCCTGAAATATAATGATAGAATAATAAGCGTCATCGAAAAGTCGTAAATAAACAATTTTTTTGCTGACAGAAGAAACATTATTGATCCATCGGTTATATATTTAGAATTGATAAAAATAGCTACTTGATTTTTATTAATGTTTTTTTAAATGCAATTTTTGTATAAAACAACGAGAAATAATATTTGTTATTCTGCGATTGTATATTTATTGCGTATATCAAATGCTGTTAATTTGATAACTATTAATGTTTACAAGCCAATTTTTCCATTTCTTCTTACATACCTAAAAAGGTCACATGACCACCAGGTAAATATTTTGCGGCACCCCAAGAACACATTACCATACCAGTGTGGTGATATACATGAAGAAAACTCACTTGATTCTGTTTTTTCCTCAATACAAAAAAAATTGTGTCTAACAAATCCAGTAGCTTGATCAGAAAATATATCCAAACTATTTTGGCGATCTGTTTAATATGTAAATATATAAGAAATATTAATTTTCTAATTTTTGTCATTATTCTTTGTCTCTTATAGCAATTAATAAACTTGTGTATATTTGTTTTTTTTAATATTAAATACTTCTGATCAAAGAAACAATTTTTATAGTAATTAAATTCTTGTAATTACCGTTGTGGCTGTTGGTGTGTTCGAAAAATCGATGGGCTGACAAAAATAACTATAATCGCGTAACCATCCCAAATCTAAGGCCTGAAATGTATAATTTTAATAAGAAAACATTTTAATAGCTATATACGGAATCATTTTTATTAATAATTAATATTTAGTTAAACAATTTCTCACGCAAAAATCAATTTTTGGTATAAACATGCCTACCCTAAAATTTTAATCATTACAACTGCTATCTTAAAATTTAAACAATTTGCAAAATTTACAGAATTTATAGTATATTGTTTTTCATTAATTTATATAAAAATTTTATATATAAAACTGTAAATGTTACATAATCTTTTTTGTCTTTATATCTTTATAGAAGATTAGAAATTGAAAAATTAATTAAAAATGTGACTTACTTTGTAAAACATGTATGCATTTATTAGAACTTGAAAAGTATTATGTAATTGTAATATTCTGTCCAATTTGAAAGGTTGTCTTTTTGCCATAAATCTTGGTCCAAGATTATGTACAAAATATATATAAAATCCAAGAAGAGTCAGACCAGGCCATGGTGAGCTCAGCATGAAACGATCGTTGTTACGTGGATCTTGCAAGAAAAAATTGAAATTAATTAAAGCAAACGTGGACCATTGATAAGCGGCATGAAATCTGTTTAAACATTAAAAAAAAAGTGGCTGTGCAAAAAGTTATGTGTTTAAATAAAGATTAAAAAAACAAATGATAATCTAATGTGCGTCAATAAATCACTGCTGCATATTGACCGCGCATTTGAATCTTATTTAACTTTTATATTTTTATTTATCTTCAAAAGCAACTACTTACTAGGTGCGCAACTAAGTTTCCGGGTTTTTTTATCAATGCAAAATGGAAAATTTCAAGAGAAATACAAAAAACGATTTATTCAAAGTATCGTCCCTCGCTAGCTACACATTTTTGCCATCTCTCTGGCAATACATGAATACCGCGACGATAAAACGATGCGTCTTTGAATCGAAACCATTCATCCAACCAGTTTCGCACTTCTTCGAAATTGGCCAAGTGTAGCCCAGCCAAGCCATGCGCCATCGACCGGAACAAGTGATAATCGGAAGGGGCCAGGTCTGGTGAATACGGCGGGTGCGGTAGCA